ATGTACCAGGTGATAGTGATCGTCTTCTCCGTCACTCCGAGAATCTTCATGAACTCACGCAGCCGAAGTTCCTTCTCCTGGATAAACACGACTAGAATCCGCGAGATCGTGAACAGATACGCCAGCACGAAGATCACGGAGAACACATCAGACACGCTGTCGTAGAATGACGAACTCGCGAAGCTGTCGACGGGGAACGGGGCCACCGTGGAGCCCAAGTACGACTGCGGGGCTTGACGTAATGGCGTGAGCAGCTGTTCTCTCGTAGCGTTCGACATGCTTGACAAGGCACTCGAGAAGGATACATTGCCAGAGGTGAAGACCGATTTAAGAACTTCTTTGATCAGCCCGTCGTCGTTCAGGACATTCAGCAACGTGGTGTCCAGCTCTGTTGAAGCTGGTGCAGTCGTTTGCGGCCGCTGGCAAACACCAGTGGTCGATTCGTTGGCTGAAAACCACCTCGGCATGCATGACACGAAGCGCGTCACAAGCGTCTCCAACGTCATGAATCCTGTCACTGTGTACCGCGAGTAGTAGTCGACGTCGATGTCAGTCTGGAAAATATCTACATCTAGAGTCGAACTGCTCGTAGACGGCACCCGACCGGTAGAATCGCCCGCTGTCGAGTTCAGACGCAGCGTGTACTCGATAGATTCAAAAGACCCGATCTTGTCGGTAGCTGGGATCGCATTAAACACGATGGCCGCGTAAATGCGCGGGTTGTCGACGCCTTTACCGTAGTCGTCACTTTTAACATACGTAGTAAGCGCGTCGTTCGTGTCAAAGAATTCGATACTCTCCTTGAACGACGGCACCGTTAGCATCTCACTTGACGAATTCATCAGATTCATACGCGGGTACCACATGTCCATCGTCTCGACAAAATACTTGCGCGTGAAGGTGTTATCAAGGGCGATGGCAATCTTGTACGGAGAAACCTTCTCAGCGCATGCTTCCGGCACGCGGTACTCCGAAGAAGTGTTGGATTCAACCAGCCCATTCGCGATCACACCCGTTGAGCACGTGGTTTGGGCCTCTCCCGATAGTTCCTCCAGACGAATGGCATCATTAATTGATTGCAATCCGAGGCTAAGGATTAACCCAGCCATTGACGTTTCATGCAGCGCGAACTTGGGTAGTTCAGCGTCCACCATTATCGGGCGACACCATTGGAATCCCTGGAACAGGTTGTAACTGGTTCCGATGGAGTCGTCGTTTGCAGATGCATCCGTGTCGCTCCATCCGGCCGGTACGTTCACGGTTGTCGTGAGTCCCTTCATAACGCCTAGCAGCAGGATGAAGATGGCTGGCACCATCACTTCGCTCGCTGAAGCGATCGGGTGGCGTATCTTGAGCAGCCAGTTTTTCCATAGCAGCGCACGGATGAATGCCCACGCCGTGCGTCGCTCGGAGAGATTGTGCTCGGAAGGCATCCCGGCCTTGTCTAACTGCGTCATTGAGCGTGGTCTGTCAAGCTTGAAGAAATCGTTGAACAAGTGCGATGGTTTTTAGTTGCTGTGGTGTGAATGAGAGCAAACAAAATGAAGAATGAGTGGAAGCTGAAGCAAACTGGCTGCTTTAGGAGGGCCATGTATTACATATCTGAGCTGGGAACATGTTAATTCGCTCCAGTCGCAGCCATTACTTTGTGCTTAATGTAGGTTTCATAAGCATAATCGCTCCGTTCACAGCGTTTACTGTTCGAGACTGGATTTTGTCACGCATTAAAACCATAATACTACGTGACCCCGCTGGCCGCATCAACAATGCAAAAACGTCATCGTGCCGAAAAGATTTGAATGGATATTCATTCTACTTGAGGGAGCTTTTTCAGTGAGCGGCTGGAAACAGGAATACTCCGCCACGAAGTGGTCTGTTCCTTTACGGTTACCTTTAGCTACAGAACATGCTAGGTTGCACAATTTCGTACACAGTGACTCCTCGTCACGCGATACGTCGTCACGGAGGCCCCAACGATCGTTGAATCTTGTTCGCCTCACAATGCGCTACATTGTGGGTCATCGCTAAAGCTAAATGCACATGTACTAAAGGATATTATAAAAAAATGCCTTTATTAAAACAGCCCTTGACTGGAGATAATCACTAATGGGGGAGAGAGGTCAGTCCAAAGTGGGAACCATACCGATGAATGGTAACTCACACAAGCAGTGATGACAAAGTCGTACATCGCAACTTTGTCATGATGTACATACATCGGTTGCCCTTCACGAATAGGGTGCAGTTCCAGCAATAATGATACCTTCGACAGTGAATTCGACTCTATTGAAGCGGCTGCGTGGGACCAACTAGCGAGAGCTGTGATATCATGTATTATATTTTCTAGAACAATTTATTAATATAACATTAGTTTTTCGTCAGAAATATCAGCAGATTTTATAAACTAGCCCAATTGGATATTTATTTTAGTGGGTGCTTAATTTCCAGTAAGAAAAAGCATGTTTTTATCCGGCAAAATCCAAATATTAGTGAAGGGTCCATACAAACAGCGTGGGAAATAAAAGAGTGACTACCGAGGGCATCGATACTTGTGTAACACTAATAAACTATTCAAATGCTACAGTACAGTGCACGACGAAACTGTATACACACTCGAAATTGTCGATTACTCTGCTAGTACTGGGAACTTCACATCAAACTGAATCTGTGGAACTTTGCGCAAAGAGTTTATTTGAATTTAAATTATAAGTTTTTTTTGCGTCTAGTTATCGTTGACGAAATTGTACATATCAGTGAAAAAATACACACCTTAACGAATTGACAATGCTCCGCCTCGTTCTTATTTCTGTTATAACATTTGCAAAGAGCGCAATCTTGCGGAAGAGATGTTTTCAATTTATCATATCACAGTCAACCTTTGACGAATGCATTGTTAGCACCAAACAAAAGACTCTGATTTCAGCTTTTTTTTTTAATATAATTAACGGAGTGTTCACAGAGAGTGAAACGAACACGAAACCCGCGAATAAAAAATAAAAAACTCAGATGTAGTTTAGTTGAGGTTTTCAAGAATAGAATTAAAATAGAGAATTGTATTTGAAATGCCCAGAAATATCAACCAACCATATCGCTGAAAATGCGAATACTGTCGCTTTTGGACGAATATCCACTACCATTATCCAAAGACACCAGAATCCTTATACCAAAGAACACAAATTGTGCTGGCGTACTTGCTCCACCGTTAGCAGGTATACCGTCAGCCCCGATGAAAAATTCGATAAAATAAATATCTAAGCGGTTGCTACTTGTCAAAAGACCGGCCAATCTATATCAGCTAAAGAAAATATCACCATTACCGTGCATAGGACAACCTGTCCTTGTAGTCGATGGGCAGCTTGTACTGTTCTCAGAAATTTATGTCAGAGCTAAAGTTGTAACCACAAAAACAAATCATGAAGGGTGAATACAAATGCAATAATACATCCATTATCTAATCCATCCCGTAGAATAACTTTTGATCAAGTTTAACAAATTGGCCGTGTTAAGGCGGTTGATGTGATGCACATTCACGAATTGTGTGATTTCAAACGAAATACTTCACGATACACCATACTTTTCCAAGGTCTCGACTGTGATCCTTAGAAACTAATCTTCGATGAAAACCTCTTAGAATGGACGGGCACGTGGTTCGATCTCGATAATTAAACCCATTGATTTGTTCTCATTTGACTTTTTCCTATATTCACATTGTATCGAGTTTCAAGCTAGATAGTATTTTCAACGAGCTTCATAAATAGCATGTCTACCAGTCCAGGGAATCGAATCCTATTGAGTATGATAGGAAACCACACTGTGCCCCCAAGTTTCATATCTGGGATCAGCTTTAGGCTGTGTCGCGAAGGCTCGGGGTGTTTTTTAAAGGGCTTATTAATGAGCAACGAAAGAAAAGGCAATAAACCCTGAGCTGGCTGCTGGACTAACACTGCTGGGACATGGAAGTTCGTTCAAATTCCTGAAATGAACCGAACCGGGAATCTTTGTTCTGATAAATACTCAGAACCAGTAAAGAGTAAACGAGCATACTTAGGCAGGTTCATCTGTCAGTATAGTGATGGTTATTGTATGGAATGATGCGCTAAAACAAATCATACCCGCCTAGGTATGGCGATTCCCAAAAAAATGTAAGTCGTGTGTGGACAAAGAAAGCAAGAATTTGTCGGTTTACTTAGGCGAAAATCAATCAAATGCCCTGATTTGTACTTTCAAGGAGCAGCTTCGCAGATGCTGCGGCTGCAAAGCAGGCACAGGATATGCGCCTACTCATGTGAATGGATTTTTGCTGAATTCAGAGCTTTTTCGGGAAAATCAAGATATTTCAGTACAGCTGAGCAAGACGACACGTTAACTCAGACTACTGTAGTACATACTTTCTTGTTTTCTTATTGCAAGTGACATGAGACAATACTGAGCCACGACCTACTCCGATACAAAGCTGAGCGTCCAACTAGTTTGCTAGTTCTCGTGAGCAGCCGTGTAGTTGTAGTAGACCTTGTTTTCATATTCGGAGTCGCAGAACGGGAATTCCGCATCGTTGTCACTCGGGAAGAAGAGCTCTTTGCCAGTCGTGTACGTGACGTAGCATCCGAGAACAAAGCACACGAACAGCACAATGCTGCCGGCAGCCTTCTCGTACATCGGGACTCGCGCCCAGGCCTTCATGAAGTAGAAAAGAATCGGTAAGAGAATGCAGTTCGTGGTGATACATGACGCGCCAATAAAGTCCGAGAACTCAGAGAAGTGATCCTTGAATACGATCGCCACAATCACCAAAATGATGACGACGGTGATACGAAGAGCGACGTACTTGAACACGTTCGATCCAGTGTACTCGGCAGCCTCCGCTTCTTCGTCGTCTTTGTGCACACGCTCCGAGTCAGCCACTGATACAAACGACATCTTGGAGCTCCGACGGACCGGGCGGTTGACATTGACGTTTCCGGGGTCCGACTGCTTCGACAGCATGTCGGCAGGTGTGGCAGACTCTTCGAAACCGAAGCCATTCTCGATCTCCATGTCCTTCTTCTTGTGCATGCCTAGAAGCAGACGTTCAGCGATGTAGAAGGCCGGGTTTAGGATAACCGAGAATGCGATGGTAATGTGGAGCTGCATGAACAAGTAGGCCATTACCACAACACCCCATCTCGGTTTGAAGCCCAGCGACGTCATTCCGGTGGCGCTGTCCGGGTAGATCGTGAAGAGAAGGTTGCCGGAGATCTGACAGCCCACTGCAGAATAGGCAGTGCTGGACAGGATCAAGAAGAGGCACGACACGAAGATGACGGTGATGCCTACAATACGAGGCATGCGGCTCGGGTCACTGTGCTGGCGCTGTAGATCAGGGATAATAATGCCAGCACCGTAAGCGAGCGACAAGTTTCCGAACATGTTGGCCACCTGCTCAAACTTGAGTTCCGGGAACGGCACACTCGGGTGTCCTCGCATGCCGTACATGACGACTGATACGCCGATAATGTCGGCAAGGATCGTTCCGAAGCAACCGGCAAAAGCAGCGCCCGAACCTTCCTTCAACGTAGGAACCAGACACACCGGCAGCACCATGAGTGCCATGAAAACAGTCCAGGTGTTTTGGCTCCACGCGTCCGGGAACAGACCATCAAGCAATTGGCCGCCGAGGATCAAGAAGACGCACGGGATCAGGAGACACGAGCCCATCTGAGAGATGACGCATAAGTAGCGTCCAGTCTTCCCCATACTCCACTCGCCCAGGTCACCAAAGGTGTTGACCGATCGCGGGGCAAGAAGTATGACCTTGGACATCGTGATTGAAGAGTAGGTGTTGGCAAAAGCCATGAAGGCCAAGGCAAAACATGCCAAAGTTGGGCCGGCACGAGCGAAGTTACCGGGCATACCAAGCGTTCCAATGCCGTAGATGCAGCAGAAGAGATTGAAGCACGTTTTGAAGTCTTCTAAAGTGAGAAACGGGCCCTTCGCCATGATTGACCGAGTGTTGAGAATCGAGGAGGTGAATCGAAAGCGGTGAAATGGAGAATGACAAAAAGCAACACGATCGAAAACGACGTCGAGAACATCACAGGTTCAATGTCTATGATATCGAGGATGCATATTATAAAAGCTGTTTGAGCCAGGGCCCTGTGGCTTCAACATCCACTCTGGCTCAATGAGGCGGGCACTTCTTTAGCGGTGATGCTGCACGGGCTCTACGAACACATCTTTATATCATGAGCTGGTGACAGCATCCTTCAAACATGGCAATCGACGAGAGCAATCTATGTATTTAGTCAGAACGGGTGCACTGAAAGCATGTTTAGGGAGTGAACTACCAGTAAAAAGGATTAAAGCTTAGTGCGGTAGCTGCACAGCTTTTGCTTAAACCGCCGAAAATGTACTGAACCTTCGCACAGGGAAGCTATGATCCGCTATCCTATCAACAGATCATGTGTAAACATCAGTGAAAAATGTTCAGCACCAATAAAACATGTGATAGAGGGCGAGATGGAGTCTCGATCACCAGACCCGATACACATTCATCTCGTGTGCCAGTGCTGCAGGACTGCTTTACCGCAGTACCGCTACTCTCGCGCTGTTATTGCTACGATAGTTAAGGCTATAAAGTGCTGTCCCTGAACCTGTACCCGCTGGAAGCATACGCCGAAGCGGAGCCACATGCAAAGCCCATATGCATCGCACCTGCAAAACGTCCGTATCTCTAGGATCAAGCTTCAACTTGGTGAGTTTCTGAAACGGTTCAAGATCAAAGTCAAAGACATCAGTACAGATGATCCCTTCGGTAGTAATCCCTAGAAATGGAATACTTAAGTACTCCTCAATAGCTGTAAATAAATTAGTTGACCAGTCACATACAAACCCTTTCCCTCTCACCCCTCAATTGTAAAATGGAAAACATTTGAAGACAAATATTTCTATTTTGGGGTGCTTAACTACGGAAGAAGTCATAACTGTACAGTACATCCGAAGAAATCTAGCAAAGGCTTTTGGTGCTTGTCGCCTTGCTTTTTTTCCAAGTTCTTCAAGGAGCGTGGACTACATTTCTCGCAAGCGCTCACCGATCTACCCGATACGCCAGTCGCACCTGCACGAATTAGAAACTTTGCGACCCACCTGAGATGCTCTTTAATTGCTTCTGGCTCAAGTCCTCCTCCATCCACGTACTACGCTCCATATCGTCCTCGTCCAGTTTTTCTGAGCCGTTGCCAGATCCATCTACAGCCAATTCTTGGTCACCAACTCAACAGAAATCTTCATCTGTGGGATCTTCTGCAGGAGTGTTATCGTCCGGCGGGTTCAGCAGCTCGTCCACGGACTGGGTCCATAACGTGCAGACGAGATAACATCGTCGCAAGCACAGCGGGCATTCCATCACCTTCGTCTGGATCATCGAAGACGCAATTGTAGTACTTTAAATGCCCGGTGTGCTTTGCGAAGAGGGAAGGTAAAAAACCAATCGTTTCCACATCTGGATGCGGTGCACTGTTCCAAACCAAAGGTACTCGGAACCATTTTTTTGGTACATACGTGAATAGGAATACCCTTAGACAGGAATAAATTGTGGGATCGTCTGTAAAACCTTTCCTACCTTATACTCTATAATATATATCATGTTACTCATGTCGCCTCGTCCGGCGGCGTACTTCCTCGCCTCAGTTATATATTCTATAACTGAGGCGAGGAAGTACGCCGCCTTAGAGAAGCGAAAAAATGAAAGTGCCCCCCTCGGTGCGCGCTAGCTTCCGACTGCAGATGCACGCAGGCATATCAAATTGAAATTATCCATGTGGATGTGAGTATTCTGACGTCATTGTAGCCTACGCCTAGCGTGATATCCAGATACATAAAAGTCCTGGGCTTCTTCATGAAAGCACAAATGCAGGTCTCCGCGTGTTTTGACTCCATGACTAACTGATATTGCAATGAAACATCTGGAATCAATTTTCATGTTTACCTGCTCTCCGACAATCATAACATGGTGATTTTGAGGAAACGGTGACCAGTTACTTGATACGAACGCCAAGATTGAGATATTTTCTGCATTTTCTTGTGATCTTGTTTGTTGGACAAGCAGTGAACTTTAAAAGCCCAAACTACATCTAGCCTTTGAATCGCAGACTAAAATTTAGTCCGCACTAGTTTTTTATACTTTGTGTCGCTAATAGTTTTTACTCTGCTCCACGTCCATTGCATGCAGTCATTGTTGTACGGTTGTTGACTATGGCACATCAATCACCAGTTTTTCACTGTTATTTCGTAGCCCTTGGCTATAGTATATACGCTAAATTTCAGAAATGTCCTAAAAAATTCGTACTTCTCCTGTCCGTTAAAGAATTAACCGCTCACTAAACCTGCGATAACTTCCCTTCTACAAGCTCAATGTAGTTGTAATG